GTACTACCTTCATCACTACTTGTCTCACCGTAACGACCTTGTAATTTGGCACGACGCCATTAATAAGTCAATAAGTAGGCACCGCAGCAACAATAACTGCAAGCCGAGTAGTGCGCAACTTGTCACTTTGTTATTAAGGTATAGGACAATTATTTGTGCGATCGTATACTGTAGACGGAACGGAACCGAGGATATAGAAGAAAGTTTAGTTTTAACTGGTATTCTCGTTCTGAACGTCGTCAAAGACTTTATCTCTAAGCGTAAGGCTAAGGACCAGGTACTAAATGAGAAGGACAAAAAGTTTGACCAGGCTCCTTCCCTCGAGTTAAAGACTCTCCTCCTAAGCGCTAATCTTAACATCCTTAAGACGCGTAAGAAGCGGAACCGCTTACCACTCAAAGCTCGAAAAGCTATTAAAAAAATAGTCTTCAGGTGGAAGCTTTAAGACGTCAAGTTCCCCCATCTTGTAAACTAATGTTGATATTTGAATGCAAATTTAATTACGTAACAAAACAATTTCTCATTTTATTAATTGTTGTCTATTTAGTGAGCATCTGTAAAAAATTGTCAATTTTTGAAAAACATGGACGAAAGATTCCAAAATAAGACACGCAGTTAATTGAAACCCGCCTAAATCTAGAAAATGTGCTGCTCAAAGTTTTTTCATTATTACTTGAAGGCATTGAGAATAATAGTAGCACCGCAAAAATTGATAACGCTGTTTACAAATGTGAAATTGCTTTGGAAAAAGCTGTAGACGTGAATGAGCAACTAATTAGGTTAGCGGGAAAAACAAAAAACCTCGAAAAAATTTTTGCCCAGCAAGAACTTTGGCTTAAGAAAGTAACCAAAAAGAGCGAGTAATGCATGAAGCTCAGAAATACAAGATGAGCCTTGAGCCTTCGTCATTTTCAGCAGCCGCCATTATAAGGAGCAAGGGATCTTTACAACAAACTAGAAGTTAGACATCCTCAAGCTCGCACAAAACAAGAAATTCAGTAGCATGAGTATCTGAAAACAGGTCGAAGGTCTCTAATGATATTAGGAAACAGGAGTCACTTAAGTCTGATAAATCTGCTTCCACTCGTCATACGTCGACAGTTCACAATATGTCATCAAGTGAGAAACGGCATGAAATAGTTTCAGTAAAACGACGTCACGAGGAGCTGGAAAAGCAGTATCAAGTATCGGTAAGGCTCAAAGAGCAAGAGAATTGTCTCAAGTTCGAACAAAGTCAGCTGGAGCTAGAGCAATTGGCTGAAAGTCATTAAAAGCAACTAATTGAAATGGAAATGAAAGCGTTTGAAATTGAGGATAATAGTGCGCTAGGTTTGCTGGCCTTCACTCCTGCACCAATTTTGTCAGAACCGACGACTCCAGCCAACCTCGCTCATGCAATTATCACTAGCAATGGTCATAACCATGGGCACACAGCAATTAGGTACGCTGGAACCTATAATCATGGACATCGAGTTATGCTTCAATTTGGCAGTGCAAGCCTTTTGTCATTGCAAGCTTCTCCTCTAACTGTTTCATTCCCAGTTAACAATATGCATTCTAGTGCACACTTGTTACCACCGCCGTCTGCTGTTCCTTTACAGACCATGAGCTCAAACAAAACAATTGGTAGTTTTGCCAACGGGCAACCGGAATCATTACCTGTCCCAATGTTACCGGCACAACCCGGTACTTTTTTTCTTTGTCACCTGCATTTGCTGGTGGTGACTTCTCATCTTTTGGCGTAAACCCACCGCCGGTTTTCCTTTCGGCACCTCATTGCCAAGCGGCGCCTTTCCATGCGCAACATTATATTCCCTTCGTACCGCATACTGTGTCACCTAATATCAACGATTACTATACAAGTGATGCAAACTTATGGCGATTGACTGCTACAACTCCAATAGTCACGCCCGTTCAATGCTGTAATGCTGGAAACATTTTCTCTAATGTGATAACTGTTGTCCCAATGTGTAACCCAGCCATCCCGTATACTAGTGGTGGGGTTGTGGTGGGGTACCTTAAAACTCCACCAGTTTATCCTCAACATTTTCCTTATTTTGTCAAGAATGCTAATACTAGTTATCAGCCAGTCAACGAAGACTACGCACCGTCTTCTGCTAATCCGAACCAAGGTTGTTAATCGGATCGATCTCTCTCCGCTCGTGAATCGGCGGTATTTTTAATGCATAGCCGCAAAGATCATCTTCCCGAATGGAAGTTAGCCCAGTTTGACGGCAACCCGTGGCGCTATGTACAAGGATGCACTGGCAAATCTGGCGCCGTAGCAGTTTTCAAATCATTGTCATTTAACGATGATCTAAAAAATGTTAACCTGTTAAGCGAAGCTGTTAGTTAACTTACGCCTAACCTCAAAGAAGCTTGATCAATGCATACTGTTAGGCATAACTTGCAGCGCCCAACACTCTTAAATTTTAATAACTGGTTGAAAGAAAAGGGCGAGGGGCATGAGAGATTACGTGTAAGGCAAAAAACGAGGAACCAGTTAAGCCAAAATCAACCACAATTTTTGCAGCAAACACCAAGGTAACTGAAAGTAGACATGCATTGTGGAACTGCGCTGTTTTCAGAGAAAAGAATGCTACTCAGCGAGCGAAATACGTAGCTGAATAGAAGTTTTGCTTCGCTTGCCTCAACGACAATCCTAGTTTCCGGCAATGCTCTAGAGCTTAAAAAAATGCCAGAAGCCAGAGTGCGATAGCACACAAAATGCCTTGCTCCACGGAGCCGAAAAAAAATATTTCCTCGGAAGAAAAATTCAAATGTCTCAAATAAGCTGGAGCAAACAAGTCCACAGAGAATACAAACATTTCCACCCACGCCGCTGTTATTGATTTACATGACTTTGAATCGTCTATAGGGTTGTTGTCATTTGCAACATTTGGTGTGTCCTCGGATGTAACCAGTATTCTGATGTTGGTTCCTTGTGATAGTGCATTGACACACTTCTAGGTGTCTTCGTCACTCGTTAACCGTCTCGGCTTAGTAGGGGAGTCCGTTAACTTGTCAATAAATGTTTTCAATTCAACCGCCAATGTTGAGACTCAGAGAGTCTCAAGTTTACCTTTTCCTCCGAGCCGAATAATAGTGATTTCGTATTCCCTCTGCGTGCATATGTTAAAGACAATGTTGAGATTGGCTCCGAGACAATCATTAATGCTGATTTGCAGAATAAATATCCACGATTAGCACCTATTAAGTCCACTCAATATGCTTATGAGGACGTTGAAGTTACTATAGGACAAGACGACTACCACGCCGTTAGACTCATTGAGTTAATCTTTGGAGATGATAATAATTCACCATGTTCCGTTCGCCTACCAATAGGTTGGGTCATAGGTGGTCCGTTGCCGCCGTCTGTTGCTTCTACTTTGTGTTTCAAGTGTGTTGTTGAAGATTCCTCCTTGACTGATCAGATAAAATCCTGGTACGTGTTGGAGTCTTATGGTGCTTTCAATTAAATTGGTGCCCGTTCCGCCGCGTATAATTATTCTTTATCCATCCTTTATTCTGAAACCGTTCACAATGGCGAAAGATACATTGTGCCTATGCTTTGGATTGATAGTAATGTCAGTCTACCAAACAATTATCACTCGTCACTCGCCCATTTTAAAACATTGGAGAGAATATTAAGTTAAGACTCTGAACTGCGCGAAAGATACGCAGACACAATTAGAGGGGACATTAGGAAAGTCTATGTCGTTACTGTCGAGCCGCATGATCCACGTAAGCGTTCCGATCGCGAGCGGTATCTTCCGCACCATCCCGTCGTAAAACCAAATAAGCCGGGTAAGGTCCGCCGAGTCCCTAATTGGGGCTTCTAAGATTCACAGCACATCCTTAAATAAGTCCTTATTGGTGGGTCCAGACCTACCCCAAACGTTAATTTTGTAATTTTGAGATTCCGTCGACACAAGTACGCCGTCTCCGCGGATATAGAGGTTATGTTCCTCCAGGTAGGAGTCCTCGCCCGCAATCAAATTTCGCTCTATTTTTTGTGACTGGAGGATACCACTTCCGATGTGGTAATTCACCAGTACACTCGCCATATATTCGGCGCATGGGATTCGCCTACATGCGCAATTTCGCGATGCGAAAAACAGCAACTGATAATATGTCCACATACCCTGAGGCCGCATCAGTCGTAAACGAAAATTTTTAAATGGACGATTACTTGGATTCGTTCGATGACGTTACCCATGCAATTAAAATTAGCCGTGATTTGGTTTCGTTACTCAAGTTGGGAGGATTTATTTTGACTAAATTTGTCAGTAATACCGATAAAATTTCTTTGGCAATGAACACCGATCATTGCGAAACCTCGTCTTTACCCATCAAAAAAACACGTAACGGTGCCGAACAATCATCACATGTCTTAGGTCCTAAGTTGGACCATGTGAAAGACACATTGGTTGTTAGCAGAAGCAAGAATTGTCCTCTGGATAAGGCAATAAGTCAACGAACCGTCTTGAGTATCGTCTCTTCTGTGTTTGACCCAGTTGGGTTAGTAGCTCCATACTCAACTAGGGCCCGTCTTTTGCTTAGATATATTTGGAAAATCAGTGGCCAAAATTGAGACGACGAAGTGCCGGAAGACATAAGAAGTCAATTTCTCGAGTGGCACTCCGGTCTCCCTCTCTTAGGGCAATTGACTATTCTCCGCTGTTACTTCACAGAACCTGTGGATCAAACTGAGCTCCACATGTTCGGTGATAGCTCGCAGGACGTTTTCTGTGCCGTTGGAATTTTGCTTATGCTACAATCGAATTCGCACAAAGCTCAAACATCCTTCATCTTTGGTAAAGCTCGCGTTGCTCCCATGAAAGCGCTATCTAAACCGAAGCTAAAGCTTCAAGCTGCTCTGCCCGCAACTCGACTGAAATATGATATACTGAAAGCAATTACCGTTAACATTAATCAGGTCTACATGTGGACAGATAAAACTACAGTTTTGCAGTGGCTAAACTCCGGTGACAAATTACCTGTCTTCGTGGCTAACCGTGTCGGCGAAATCCTCGAATCGACAAGCATTGATGAGTGGCACCATGTTCTGAGCGGCGATAATCCAGCTGATTCCGATACGCGGGCGATTTCTTTGGAAGTCCTCAAGGATAGCAGCTGGCTCACTGGTCCGAGCATTCTCAGGACTACTGATTGCCTGTTTATACCCGACGAACGTGCGATCAATAAAATTCGTTTGAAGGTTTCTTCTTTTTGATGTCGATAATTGCGTGGAGACATCATTTTCCTTCGTCACCGATGTCACATCCATCAAACAGCCCGCAGCCTCCACCACAAGCATTTTCATCAAAGTTTAGATTACATGCGCTTCGTTTTTTAAAAAAATGAAATGTGAAATACTTGCGTTGGGTAGACTACTTCAGTGTATCGAAAATCAATGTGTAACATGCCGTAAGCGCAAAAGAAGTATCATCCAGCCAATCATGTCCAATTTAACTGTCGAACGTCTCGGATATAAGCAACCACCCTTTAATCATACGGGTGTGGAATACTTTGAACCACTTTACGTTCCGGCAGAAGCACTGAAAAAAGATGAGGATTTCTTTTCACCTGCCTCACCACCAGGGCTCTACACCTTGAGACTGTATCATCTCTGGACACTAGTTTTTGTGTCATGGGCATTGAACGGTTCATTGCGCGGCGTGGTACAACAAGCACGATCTGGTCGGATAACGGCACGAACTTCGTTGGTGCGGAAGAGGAATTACTTGCCTGCATCAAGAGCTGGAATGGCATGGCGCAGACCATTTTTGCACAGAAAAACGTTGCTTGGAAATTTAACCCGTCAGGCGCACCCCATCATGGCGGCTCCTGCGAGCGCCTCGTCCGAAGAGTAAAGCGCGTACTTTACGATATACTAGGCAGTAGGCGAGTCACCGAAGAGATGTTAGGAACAACATTCTGCTTAGTTGAGCAGGCTTTGAATTAGAGGCCAATCACTCCCGTTAGTACTGATTCACGTGAGTTAGAAGCATTAACCCCAATCCAGTTTTGCCTTGCACAACACGCCACAAGCTTTCCTTTGCTTTTACCTGGGGAGCACTTTGACCACAAGAAAAGGTGCGTGCGAGCGCAGTCGTATGCTAACGCTATTTTGTCTCGTTGGCTTGGCGAAAATGCTCTCTCACTGAATAAGTGTGTCAAGTGGCACACTCATTCTGACTCCACTCTTAAGACAGGCAATATCGTGTGGGTGATTGAGCCCGATAGTCCGCGTGGGTACTACTCCTTCACCCGACTCGTCAAGCTAAACTACGGACATGACAGTTGCGCCCAATCCACTCTTGTTAAGACCGCAACCCGTGAAGTCACTCGGCCGACCGTTAAGCTGGCTCCGGTTCTCCCTTCTTCTGGGGGGGGGGGGAGGATGTTGCAACGCAAATGTAACAAGAGTATAAGTGCATATATAACAAAAGTATAAATGCATATAAAATCATATAAAATGAGGACGGATGGCCGAGTGTCCTAAGCTACAGTAACGCCGACTATACAGACTTGCCAGTTGGTGTGGGTTCGATTCCCCCACCTGACCTTGTCTTAATATACTAAAAAAGGGAGTTATATCCTATTTTAATGGTTTTTTTGGTTCTAATTCGGTTCAGCCTTGGTAAAGGCTGACCGCCAAAAACAGCAATTTGTCTCAAAGACATTTTTACCGGTTCATGTGGTTAGCTTGCGCATATTTTTTTCGTTTTTGGGGCAGTTTAATGAAGTTATATGATGTAAATTGGATCATTGGATGAAGTGTTTCTTCCGCTAGGAAAATTGAAATTAAATCCCAATTCGTGGTTTTCGTGTTTTTCGTGGTCTTAATGATTTTGCTGTTTGATAGTGCATTTTGTTGTGATTTTAATAAAGAAAAAGAACGGAACTTAAATAAATAAAAAGCCAAACCTCAAAAACATTTTCTAAAGCTCTAAAAAGACCCTGTTTGGCCTTTAATTTCAAATTTATTTGGTTTTCTGATTTAGTTAATCCACAATTTTTGGCAATATCGTCAAGTCTTAGTGATTCATACTGTCGAAACTCTGGGGTTTCCATGAGTAGGTTAATCTTTTGACGTCATAATGATTTTGAGCCTCTTAAGTTTACTCCGTCAAAATGAAAAAAATTAAGGTCATTAACATCGCTAAAACATGTTGTCAATTTTCGGCATTGTCTTTACAAACCAGGTCGAGACTGTATGCAATTTGGGTCTGGGATTGACATGCGGAGCGACTTTCAAAGGCTTGGCATAAGAGGGGGACCTCGACTGAAGAATCAGTTGTTACTCACCAGGTAGTTGATGATGTAGTACTTGTCGTATATGGTGTTCTTCGCATTCAACTTCCGATGCTGCTTTCTCTTCATGTGTTCAAAAAGCTCCGCCTTGTCCGCATAAATACTGTCACAGTGCAAGCACTGACACCTAAACAAATAAGAGAGAGGTATGAATTAATCTTAGAACTTATTTATAGTTTACCTATACTCTTTTCCAACTAAGCCAAATCATTCATTTTTACAAAATCAAGTGGGTGACTCTTTGCTTCCTTTCTTCGAGTTTAAATTGGTTCCTTGATCCCTTGCTTCTTGTGTAATTTGACTCGTTACTTCGTTCTTTCAATTCTCTTTTGACACTTTGATTGCTTCATACGAGTATTTCTTGACTCTTTGCTTTTTTGTTCGGGTTTAATTTGGCTCCTTGATTCCTTCCTTCGTTTCTAATTCAACTCTGTGCTTCAATGTCTCGATTTTCTCTTGAGAGTTTGCTTGCTTCATTCGAATATTTCTTGACTCTTTGCTTTTTTCTTCGTGTTTAATTTGGCTCGTTACTTCGTTATCTCGATTCTCTCTTGAGAGTTTGCTTGTGAGTTAGGACCGAAGTGTATAACTCATAGAGTAATTTCGGATAGGGTACACCGTCTGCTCGTCACGCTATCTTATTTTCGGCCGGATAGATTCGTGCAACTTCTTAGTCTAATACCGATCCTAATCTTACTCTTATACTATCTAGTCTCAGGTTGTTTAACTAGTCTCTGCTAGGCTCAATAGATCTAGGGTATACTGGTTTATTGCGGCTGCTGAAGTACTCGGGAGAGTTCAACTAGTTTCTAAGTTAAATTCAAATCTCTCTGGTGCTGAAATTACAAGTAATTTCAGCACTTACAAATAAGTGGATTGTTAGTTAGATGGATCATGATTGGTTAATATTAAATACTTTACATTGGTAAAATATCTAATTTATCCAATCATAAAATGTAGTTTAGATCAGGTTCCACTTGCTTCATTCGAATATATCTTGACTCTTTTTTTTTTAGTTTTATTTGGCTCCTTGATTCCTTCCTTCGCGTTTAATTTGGCTCGTTACTTCGTTATTTTCCGCTCTTGACACTTTACTTGCTTCATTTGTGCATTTTGATGATCATTTTGGTGATTTTCTGCTTTTTTCCTTCTTCAGAGTCATTCTCGACGCCTTGCCTCCTTCCTTTGAATCTAATGTGGAATTTTGGTTCCTTCCTTCGAGTAATTTTTGACTCTTTGATTTCTTTTACCGAGTCACACCTGCTTTGGGTCATTCTTGATTTTTGCTTCCTTTTGATCGAAATTGTCTGAAGTTTTTTCAAGTTTTTTCAAGTCTTTCGCTTACTTTAAGCCTCTCCCGGTTCTTGGTCTTTTCTGAGTTTTGTCTAGATCTTCTTTTTCTGAGATTCTCTAGGTTCTTGACTTTATCCGAGATTTATCGAGCTGATTGCTTGTTAAGAGCCACTCTGGGTTCTTGAACTGTTTCCGAGCTTTATCAAGCACATCCCTTGCTTCGAGCTTTTCTGGTTTCCTGGTTTTTCTCGAGCTTTGGGTTTTTCTCGAAATTTGGCAAACTTTTTATTTCGAGGCTCTCTGGGTTCTTGGACTATTCCCGAGTTTTATCGAGCTCATCGCTTGCTCCGAGCATCTCTGGGTTTTTGACTTTTTCAAGCTTTAATTTTTGCTGCGAGCCACGCTGGGCCTTTGGACTGTTTCTGAGTTTTTATCGAGCTCATTGTTTGCTTCTGGCTTCTTCGGATTCTTGGAGTTTCAGGAGCCTCATCCGGCTCATTCCTTTGCTTCAAGCCTTTCTGGGCTCATGGTGCTTCCCGAGCTTGATTCAGCATACTCTTTGCTTTGAGCCTCTCTGGATGTTTGGCTTTTCCAAAGCCTTATCAAACTCATTCAATGAAGCTAAAAACCTGATTTTTTTCTGATAAAAACTTAACTTTCAAACTTTTACAAAAATTATATGGCATTAAAACTCTTTGATTTCTAAACGGTTTATGGCCGGTGGTTTTTTGATGAAATTAACCCAATGTGAGAAAACTGGACCAATAGGTAAATTTTTTATTCCGCAATCGAAACTGGGAAAATTTAAATCCACTTTCGAAACATTTTTCATGACCTTTATAATTTGCGTTACGCTTTCAGAATTATGGAAAAAACGTCAAAGCCCGCATAAATAAGGCCAGAGTTTGGCTAAACTTGCAATTTCGAAACACATTTGAAATTAGAAGTCTATCACGTTTTTTGCGACTTTTACACTTTCGGTGTTCGATAACAAAGGAAATCAACTGAGCTTAAAAAGAAATCAAAAATCAAACCGTATAAAATCAAAATTGAGTGTTAACAAATTGTAAAATTTCTTCCTGAAAAAAAACAAAGAAAATCACCAAGACTTATATAAGAGTACTTACTTCGTTCATTACTCTTAATCATCTAAGCCTAAGCTCCTTAACTGTTAGTTTCAAAAGACTTCAGGTGCAAGCTCGCCGATATTCTCAATAATTTGGCATTAACTATATTATATGAACTTTAACCGTGCAATCAATTACTCCTAACAAAAGTTGTGAAATCAAATCAGAAAGCTGTTCTATGAAATCTTTCGCGAAATCATGTCAGTTTGCCGTCAAATTACTCGAGCTTCGTGTTTTAAAGCCTCAATCTTTTCGAGTGTTGGACACTTTTCATTTGACTGACCTTCCGATGGCCTCGTGCAGCACATCTAGAAGTTCTGCAGTGAACACGAGGTTGTCTGGGTGTCCGACGTTGAAAAAGTGTTCGGAGTGCATGTGTTCGAAGATGTCACTTCGATTGACCTGATCGAACTTCTGCTCGCAGAAGATGCACGAGTGAGAGAACGTCTTGTCCATTCTGGAAGATTAGAAAGAAGACAGAAATAAGTTAGATTAAAACCTAAAGCCAGAATAGTCACTAGTGCAAAGACGTGCAAAGACCCTCTGGAGTCGCTTATTATTGATTAAATAATACCTCCGGCCCTCATTTTATTTTGATAAAGCTTTTGTCACAATTTTTTATGTTCGTAATTTCTTTTCCCTGAAAATTGAAATATCTTGACCCCTCTTTCGTTCTTTTCCCCCTGGTTTTTTTGTTTATCTCGTATATGAGTAGTTTTCTCATATTCGACAAATGGATATAAAGCTGGAAAAATACTATCTTTTAGAAATATAGAACCTTAAAAAACCAAGGGTCTTCAAACAAATGCTGGACTGGGCTTAGAAAAAATTCGTCACCTTTCCAGTTGATTCTGCTCTAACACGAGACGCAGTCTCTTCTGTTGAAGGGACTCCCTCAGTTTGCGATCTTGAGGGATGTCCCCCAACACTAGATACATGGTGGGTACTCCGTTGTCCTCGGGAAACATGGGGGTCTTGATGATGCTGCAGTACTCTGTCAGTTCCTTCTGCACGAAACGCACCCGCCAGTAGTCTATGTATCTAAACATGAGACCAAAAACACATCACATGGCAAAGATTCAGTTTCTTCTAAATAACAAACTTTTACTGTAGAAATTTTAAATGTAGAAATTGATATAAAAAACTCGAAATCTATATATAAGAGTTGTTCTGGATTCAAAAAAGTAAATTTGACAGTTGGAAAGGCTCTCAGTTTTTTTTTATACACAGAAGAGTACAAGGACGATGCTGATTTCGTGTCAATCCAGTTTCAGCAATCATGGAAACTGTCAGTAGCTCTCAAGTAAACTTAGTAAAACACAACAGCAACATTGAATAATTTATACATCGAATAATTTATACATCGAATAATTTTGCGATCTCGAAGTTAATGTCAGGCGAGTTGAAGGCGTTTAGCGTTCTTAAAACTTTTAAAAAGTCATTCATTATCTTGAAGAAACCTTCCGGATCTATAGAAATCTGAGTCAAAAAATAATCATGGCAAACGTTTTTTTAAAAAAAAAGTATTGAAATGTTTCCAAATAATTAAAGGCACTCTTCTATAAGCAATTAACTGACCTTTTTGATGTGATAAATTTATAAATTAACAAACTTAGATGCAATTATTTCCTTCTTGAGACATTTATTTTATTGCAATCACGAAAAGCAAGCATGTGTTGCCTTTTGAAGTCGGCGATGAGGTGGTCGTTGGCGATGATAAAACGATGTGTCTTCTTCAGGTGTTCCAGGTAAGACTCCCTGGAAGTGGCCACATTGGTGTGGTTGTCACAGAACAGACACTTCAGCAGGCTCTCACTCACACCTCCCTGTGTGTTCAACACTGAAAAAGAAAACAATCTCATCAACATTTTTTGGTCTATCTAGTTTCATTTTTCAAGCTCTTGTAAAAACGCAGTCAAGTTTGCAAAAAACGAGCCCTTTTTGAATAACTCAAGCACTACTGTGCGTTTTTTTCCGTTAAATTTTATTTTATGTTTGGATTCTTATCGGTGACACCTTTCGTACACATTGGTAATCAGCTACCAAACCATCTATCGTACCTAAAGCGGTTCCTTTCTTCCCAATCAACTCCTCCGCATCCTCGTCCGCGATTTCATACTTCCTCTCTGCTCCTCCTCCTCCTCCTCCTCCTCCTCCTCCTCCTCCTCCTCCTCCGCCTTCTCGTCCGGGGTTTGAGTTCCGCTGTGCTTTTCCCGACTCGTTCGAGCTGTAGGGAAACTCTTCCAGCTCCTCCGCCGAAGAACTTCTGTCCGAGTTCAGGAGAAGCTCTTCGCTTGAGTATGTGCTGTGTTTGCTATGCTTAACAGCCGTGTTTTTAATAGTATTCTTCTCTTTTTCAAAGCTAGGGTTTTCGCTTAGGGTAATCATTTTGGAAACGAAAATTCAAGCAGTAAAATAAGTTCACCGAGAAATCAAAGATCAACTCACTTTTGTGAACAAAATTTTAGCATTGCCAGGTTAAGATAATCAAGCAATGCTTCATTTACAGCAAGATTGGCGCGCGAAAAATTACCTCAATTGTTTCTGCAAAATTTTTTGGAGATTCGCTTGAAAAATTGATTTATATCATTTTTTGCCCGGGGTTATCCCCTTTAAAATTCGCTTAGACAACCTAGAGTTTGATGATTTGAGCCAAATGAGCGAATTTACCAGCATGGAAAACTAATTTGAACCTGAAGCCCATTCTCATTATTTTTGTTTATCTCAGTTTCAGAATAATTCGGACCAAGACCATATATAAGCTTTTGTATTAAGCTTTGGAATTGACATGGAACAGTTTTTTGGAAGAAAAATATGTAGAGAAAATAACTTAGTCGAGGCTCGTCCCTGATTTTTTTTCGTTTTTCGTTCTTTGCTGTTTCAGCCCTAACGGGCAGTAAGTCCTATGAAATAGAAATCTAAGGAATAACATGAATGTGGCAACTATATGAGATACTGATAATTGAAATACCATATAATTAGGATTCAGTTTCTAAAGGTGATTGATAAAAACGATTTTTTTTTCAATCTTTTAAAATGACATCGAATTTTTCAGAAAGCAGTTAATTAGAATACTTAAACCCAAACTCAGGTTTTTTCTCTCACTAAAGCGCCTAAAATCAAAGACCATTTTGGACTCCATTAAACAATAAGTTCATCAACTTTGTTTACATCGACCTATTGCAAATGATCTGATGTTTCTCTGCGAAAGTCTCAGTTTGTTAATTGGAAGCGTCTGTCAGATTTTTCCGGTCTGAATAAGCCGGTTTCCATCATTGCCACTACGATTTTTCAAAATGCGTGAAAATGTTGAAAACAACTGATTTAGTAAAGCTGTCGCAATGATTATATCATTTTTCTGGCTGAAGTAGTTTGACATCGCATGAACAACTTCTTAATCTTACTTTCTCTCACTGTTACTGCTTTGCTCTTCAACTTATTCGAGAAATAGTTCAATTTGTTGCAAAACTTAGCTTAGACGTTGAAAACTCGCATTTTCAGACCCGAAAAAAATGATAACTGCTTCAAATTAAAAGTTGTCACCTTCAGAGAGGGTAGTTCATATCATTTGTTCTTGGACGCTGTAAAATTTTTCTTAAAGTTCAACGTAAAAATTGTCACAAACAGTCCTTAAAGTTATGTTGTTTAGATAGTAAAAGCTTGATTCGAGTTTAATTTTGTCCACTAGTGTAAGTTTTCTACGGGAGTGAACACGTTTTCTAATAAACGGAAGAGACATTATCGAGACATGCATTGTTCAACGGTACAATTTTACGCAACTCTGCTGTTTCTTATTTTTCTTATAATTTCACTCTTCGGAAAACTTATTACAAATTGTGGAAAATGGCATTTTCAGACCCCAAAAAAACTGGTTTGTGATTCAAATCGAAAAATGAGAATTTCAGAGATGAAGTTTCAGATCATTTGCAGTCGGCCAATGTAACAGTTTTTCTAAAGTTCCAATTGAATATTATCGAAAATTCCTTTATTGAACTTAGGTAATTTAGAAAGTGTAATGATAAATTTGCCTTTAATTTTGACCACTTGTGTAAAATTGATTCAGAACAAAGTAAACAGTGGCAAGGACTCTATACTGGAACTGATGCCCTTCAAATACAACCTGAGGAACCAATATAAACGCAGAAACCATATGAGATACTTATAGTCGAGATACCATATGTTATATAGTTAAGGCACAGTTTCCAAAGATGATTGTTAAAAACGATACTTTTTTAAAATCTATGGAAGTGATATCGAACTTTTCTGCAAGCAGTGCATTAGAAAAAAATTATGGCAACGAATCAACTTAGTCGAGGCTTCATGCCTGAGTTTTTTATAAATTCTTTGCTGTTTCAGCTTATTTTAACTGAAAAACCTGGGTTGAGGTTAAATCATAATTAAGATAAAGTTTCACAAAAAAAACTGATTTACTAATTACCATATACTACATATACTTTTTAATCATAAATCTCAAATTATTCGATTCTATTTGTTTTTGAAAACTTATTTCGTAACAGTTTCTTTGACCAAGAAATGGTGCTATGAAGATATGCTAGTCATGAAAATGTGAAAAATGTTTATTTTATGTACATATGCAGTTTTGCCAATTTCGATGATTCATCCAATACGTTACAATCTGTTTATTAAGGTTTGAAGTTTTATCTTGATTTATCTTGATTTATGATCAAGTTGTATCCAAGTATGATAAAATAAAGTAGATTTAGAGTCGAAAGTGTTATTATCATTCATTTATTTTTCACGATGTTCGATTAGTTAAATTCACTTTAAATGGACTCGGCGCTATTCCCACAAACCCGACAACTGGAACCAGTGAAGGCTTCTCGATTCCAACTGCCTCAATTTTGAACTTCCTCATAATAGAAGCAAATGCCGTGAACACTTCCATACGAGCTACGTTTTCTCCAATGCAGGCGCGAGCACCCAAGCCAAATGGAGCCATATACGGCTGCTTGTTATACTTTCCATCTTCGTTCAAAAAGTTTTCTAAGTTAAAGCTCTCTGGAACTTTCCAATATTTCTTATCCTTGAAGATACACACCATATTTCCAAAGAGTCTGGTGCCTTTCGGAATCCGAAACCCATGCAAATTGTCGATGTCCTCGGAAGCCGTATGATCCAGGGTCGAGTACAGAACCGGATACACTCGCATCGCCTCCCAAATTGTTGCTACGGTATAATCACACTCATTTTGGACTGAATACGGCACAACTGGCAGGCTCAAATCCGTTTTGGATGACAACTCATTAAAAACCATTTCCTGTACTGCAGGGTAATGAATCATAGCAAGAAAAAGCCAACTTAAACTGTTAGTCGTGGTTTCTTGACCCGCTAAAACAATATCGACTAGAATTCCGACCACTGTTTTTTCTGTTACAATCGGATCATTATCGACCAACATCTTGTCCCATAAATGATCGGCAAGACATTCTGGCTCTCGATTTCGTGCTGCGTCGGCTGAGCTCGGCTTTCGAGCCATGAATTCAGACAGCAAATTGTCGCTGAACTTTTTCCGCAAGCTTAAAAGTTTTTTAGATACAGACATATGTTTAGCAACCCACAATGGAACTACCCAATGAAGCCCACTTGGATTCTGAAGTTCGAAAAGCTGATTTATGTAGTAATACAGCTCAAGATACTTTGGATCTTCGTAATTGAATGTCTTGTTGAAAAGGAGGCTGAAAATGACATTGTTCGACAAGTATCCTGCATATTTCTGAAAAGACAGAGGAAGCGTGATAATTCGCGAAATGATTGACTAAATTTCCGAGTTGGTTTGAGGCCAAATAGGATGTTTCAAATAAATGCCAGATAATCAGATTTTTTAACGTCACTAGTACATTAATTTGGGAAATATATATTGAAAAAGAAAAAAAAGATGTCTACTAAGAAACTCAAAACTTAGTGTTAAATGTCATACAATCTGGCATTATTTTTTTGCTTTCTTAATTTTCTTTACTTCATTCTTATGGGTGTACGCTCAAAATGAATAAAAAATGCTCAAAAACTGCAATAACTTTGGCGAAACGTTTCAAAAATGGCTATAACGGTCAACTGTCTCGACTTTGACATTGAAATCAAAAGCTATCATCCATACCCGAATGTCGAGCTCTTTTTTTTCCAGTTTGTCCAGATGCTTCACAAACTTCTCCACTTCCGCTTCAACCTTCTGACCGAACGAGTTGCGCCCCACGCCCATACTTCGGAATATCTGATGAATCACTTTCCTCTTGGCCTTCCAGCTCTCACCGGATGCGAAAGCCAGTCCATTTTGCACTTCAAACAACTCGAAGAAGCCGAACACGTTGCGGCTGTTGAATCTCGGATCATTCAGAACCTGCGGCAAAAAGTTTACTGACCAGAGATAAATAAAGAAACACATAATGTTCCTACCAACCTTTTTAATATAGATTTTTGAGTTTTTCATTTTAAAAAATCAAAATGAAATCAATAAAAAAAATGATTTTAAATAGCTTCTTTTTTGGATTGTCTACTATCGAGAGGGCAATATACCCCCAATAAGCTTTGAAAAAGAACAGTCACAAAATCTGACCTTCTGCCTGAAAATAAAGCCCACTCTTCTTCAATCACTGTGAAACTTTTCGAGATCGAAATAAGTTTCTCGGAATATCGTTTAAGAGTCCGACTAAAGATTCAAAGGACTTTTATTATAACAAACTTGGATTTCCTATGAGCCTTTTGGGGGGTATCTGGTGTATATCTGCCCCTCCCAATGAATTTAGCCAACGTTTTCTACACCGTGAATGCGCCACAAAATAAATGTTTTTTTTGGCGTTTTGGAAGTGTCTGTACAAAAAAATGAGAAGCTTCCCGGTGTTTAAAAGTTAAAATAGGTTTTTTTTGTGTTATTAAGTAGTGGTCTTGTCTGTTTTAAGAATATCGATCATTCATTTTCCACTTGAGATTATTTGAAGGCTTTTAGGCAAAGACTTTGTAATTATTTTGACTGGTAAATGTTGGCTAGATCATGGGTAGTCAGTCAACCACCATGGGTCGATACATTAGTGAACCAGCTCTTCGCGAGCTCAACTTCAGTCACAGCCTACCTCTTTGACTATATCAAAATCGTTGATCCAGACATCCCAGATGTTGTTACCGGCAATCGCCAGGGATACCATCGATCCATACTTTTTGTGCAGGTGTTCCAGTTCCAAAGACAGGCGTTCGTCCATTGAGACACTGAGTAGATTGTTAAACAGAGGAAGAGCAACTGGACCGGGAGGGAAATTGTGAGGCCTGGCTTTGGACCAGAACCATAACCACAACAAGGTCCCCAGACCTATAATTCCAGCAATAATAAATTCAATCATTCCCAGGTAGGAAATTGTATGGCAGAAAATTTAAATTGTTGCTTAATGTAAAAGTTCTCTGATGTTTTGCGTGTTTGTATATAAGATCAAAGAACAAATTAGAGTTGGGACCGTTCCCAAGATTTAGTTTGTATAAATAACATGAACTGACCTTTAGTGATTGAATATAAATGATGTAAACTCAATCTGATGAAAGTGATGAAATTGAAGAAGTGACCATATATTAATTCGAACTGAATGGATTATTAATCGGTTATAGATTAAACAAATCACCAACAATTTAATACATTATAATCAATTATGATGATATCAAATGGATTCTAATGGATTATAGTGGATTAGAATAGATGATTCAGATTTTTTAATCCAAGAAACTGGATTTTCAAAACCGTTTCTGTTGAGATTCACAAATTGGCTTCGGCAAAATTTTTTTATTGTTTTTGTTTTCTGTTGTTTTCTTTAAATGTTTTTTATTGTGTTCCCCGCCTAAAACACACCCAACTTTTGAAAATCTGCCTGCTCGACAAAATCCTAGATTCATCCTTGCATTTTTACCTCCTCTTCTTATCACTACCCGCTAACAAGCATGTACGCCCTCCTACACCTTGTAAACTCATTTGCACATCCCCACACCATTTACTCACATTACAAATGTTAATTCACTAGAAAGGGTCGGGGGGGGGGGGGAGGGGGTGTTGTGAATCGCAGTATTTTTATTGTACCATTATAATTAATTGCAATTTGTTATAACTAGTATTGACTTTATGACCTTGATATATTCATTCTCTCCAGTGGAGAGAAGGCTTGCTCACTTTTTTAAGGTTTTAACTTTGAAATTAATTCCTTTTTAACTTAGCATTTTGTCTGTACATAAGTAGAATTAGCTGTAACAAAGAAACATTATATCATGGCGCAGTCGAACATGAACGAATCGAACGTGAGAGGCAAACTTCATTTTGACAAGAGCATAAGGGGGACTCACCGATTCCTTGGGAAGAGTGGAGCCATCTTTTCCAACTTGCAGTGATAGCAAAGGAGAATATTGATAAAGAAAAACTTCTGAACCGGATAGAAAGATATCATCCACAACCACCAATTTTAGAAAATCCGCCGGATAGCCAAACGGAAACACGGAAAAATGCTCGCTTAGACCGAAATCTCCAGGAAGAAAAGAGTTTCGAAGGCGAAAAATCAGCTTCGATAAAGCGGAATAATAATGGTTCAACGGCATGAGAACCGAATCAGCTGATAAGAAACTCCGATCAATTTTATATCTAGCTCTCGAAAACGAAGTAAAAAAGATTTTCTGCCAAAACGCTTCACAAGTGAAATTTCTCCAAATCTCCTTTAAAAAGTTCTGAGACAGTTTGTCCGTAGCATTCGTGAGTAAGACGAATGCTACAATCGAAAGACATAAACTCTTGGATAGAAAACAGAGAGGTATAGAATCACAGGAACAATTCTGGGGAGTTCCTGCCCTATTGGTAAAGAAAGGCGACAAATCCGCAAGAGAAGACGAATGGATAAGAGAGACTTTTTTTAATGATATGAAGAAGTCGGAAATCTAACGGAAACTTCTTACAGAAAGAGTTCCACCCCTAGAAGCGCTAAACGTGGCAATAATCGACGAAAAAATAATAACAAACCATATGAAAATGACAAATATTTTAAAATCCAACGGATTTTCTGTAAATTAATTTTTTATTCAGTTTAAGGTTAAAAGAGAACCAACTTTAACTTGAAATATTTAACGGAGCAACACTTGCATAAAATGCGGCGGCACATTCTCCAAAGGACACCTGGCGGTGTGTCCAGCAAAAGACACAACTTGTACTGTACATCTTGTGAACACAGAGGACATTTTACCCGGCTTTGTAAATCCCGCCGTGAAAGTGTGAATATAGTACATAATAGTCAAATTGTAAATACAGTACATGATAGTCAATTTGTAAATAATACAGATTGTAATTATTTATCGGAACGACCGGAAGTAAATAACGACCGTGTAAATAGAGAAGGTTGTGGAGTAATCAACGCATGGTCAGAATCCGGACAGAGCGACAACGATGATTAGTCTAGATTAACAACAATTTATTACAACCAAGGGGAAAAACTCAAAAAATTATTACACAACGGACTCGGAAAAAAACCCAATTAATCCTCAATATCCAGGTCGACTCCGCCAGTCCTGTGAGCTTCCTCAAAAAAATGTACTTCATGCTAAACGTGGCAATAATCAACGAAAAAGGAATAACAAACTATATGAAAATTGCAAATATTTTCAAGTCCAACGGATTTTCTGTAAATAAACTTTTTATTCAGTTTGAGGTTAAAGGAAACCAAATTTAAACTTTAAATATTTAACGGAGCAACACTTGCATAAAACGCGGCGGCACATTCTCCAAAGGACACCTGGTGGTGTGTCCAGCAAAAGACACAATTACGTGATTTGTACTTGTTCCATTCTTTTCGAACGGTTGGTTCCACAACGAATGTCATTTTTTCCTAACAGAGGGCCACGAGAGAAAAACTTTAGGAAACGATAATCTGCCAAAAGTGGGAATCGAACACTTTCCACACTACCAGTCCAAGAAGCATCGTGAATCTAACAATTTAATTCCCCGGCTGTTCAAGAAAAATAGGTAGATATTACAACCAAGATTTTAAGCATTTACTCTTTCGCATTGGAAAAAAATCAAACGAAATTTACCCACTATCACGAACAACTCAAACCACTCAAACCAAGGCAGAACTCGATGCAGTACAAGCGGAACTAGACCGAATTAAACCCGAAGGACGCAATAAAAAACTAGAAAATTTTGATGGAAATAGATTTATTAGTTCGATCGTTATCACTTGCAAAAAGAACAAACCGACAAAAATAGCATTCCATTCAAATTTTATCTACAAAAAAAATTACGCGAAAAAAGAACCAAATAACAAATATAAATGACAAAATTGATAAAATTGCCTCTCGAATTTCAAATAATTCCACCGGAGAAGTAGGTTTACTAACCCGGATTTAAAGAACGCGTATAGCCGACTCTCACTAGACAATTTTGCTAGCAGTCAGTCCAATTTTAGCATGGTAGGTGGAGAATTAACCAGCACATACCAATTTTTAAACGGTTTTTACGGACAAAGCAACATGCTGAATGAATTCTAGAGGATCAAGGACTCAAGAGTTGGAAACATTCTTCTTACTACTTGCTATCTCGACGACATTTTAGAGGCTTCTAAAGGAAGTTTTTTATAGAACACGTAAAAATCGTTTTACAAAATTTTATCAATTTTAGACGATTATATTTTTGCCATCAACTGGCCAGAAAGTATGATTTTTCAAAAAAATGTAGAACGGCTCGGATTCAAAATATCCAAATCAGGAATCGCGCCATCAGTCGACAAAGCTAAAGCCAGTGAAGACATACCAAATCCAAAAAACCTTAAGGAACTGAGATCATTCTTTGGTTCGACAAATAAATTTTTTAATTTTTTCCATGATTAGTATCCCTGGGTAGTCTTTTAAGACCGTTGCTAAATAAGAAATCAATTATCTTGCTGAACGAAGAACATTCGAAAGCATTCGAGAAGATAAAAGAAGAAATGGTAAAAATTACCGAAAACACACATTTTGATGTATTTCTCTCTTCGAGAGTAAAAACCGACGGATCCCATAAGAGACTTGGAGCTTCATCAGAACAGCTAAGGCAGTGACTGGAAAACAGTCAATTTTGCTTCAAGATTTGAAAATCCGCATGAATCTAATCATTCAACAAACGAATTGGAACTTTTGGGAGTCGTTTGGGCGGTCGAGCGTTATAAGAATTACATTTACTGCCCGAAATTTGAAATCATTACGGACCATAAAGCCCTCCTTCCATCACCTTCCCTAACCCTATTAACAGTGTCAATCCCATCGTCAAGTTTCTTCAAAATAAAGTAGATAAGACTAATGCAAACTCCCATTATTCAAATCAGTTCATCCGAGATCTTCATGAATCCGACGGATAATTAATTTACCTTACAAAACGTGGTTATGAAGACACTTCATGAGAGTCATCCGGGACAATTGGGCATGAAATATCTCGCCCAAGATATATGGTGGCCTCACATAAACGTTCAAGTTTATTTTAATGGTATAAACTGTTCCCAATGCGCACAAATTTGTAAAAATGTAAAAAATTTTATTCCTTGTACTCAAATCAGCAAGTTTTTACCCTAGTCCGAGCCTAGTGAGGAAATAAATCTTAAATTTGCCGGTTCTTTGGAGCCTAGTTGGAGAAAAGTAAATATATTCTATAACGCATTGACAGATTTTCGAAATTTCCCTCGCCTAAACTAACATCCTCAGCTTCATCAAACACAGTGATTGAATTCGTTCAGGATTAATTTTGTTTTTACGGTGTTCCTTTTTCTATCCGTATGTTGTTTTACACGCGCATTTTGTTTTACAAGATGCGTCTATCACGCATCTTGTTCACGTATCTTGTTTTACAAGCAAGGATCTTGTTTTGATCACGCATCTTGTTTTGTTTTACAAGCCATGATTTTATAATATTCTATGATTCCAACAAAATTTAAATATATTTTGTATAATTGGCGACCATCGTTCGAATGGTTTAGTGGGAAAACATGTACAAACTGTAAAAGTTAAACTATTGGCAATGGCTCACGAACATCAAAAACCTACTTTACAACACGCGGTCTCAAAAATTATCTGGAACCTTTCTAATGAAGAATAAAATTCTGCGTCTTTATGCGTCAAGAATAAAATTATGCGTTTTTCTAATCAAGAATAAATTGTTCACTTTGCAAAATAAATTTTGGTAGTAAGCTAAATATGATCTGGAAACAGTTAGCCTCTAACAATATATACGATAGAACTTTAGACAAATAAAAATCAATCCCAAGCAAAAGACGAGCACTCGACTGGAACTCTGATGACCGGGTCGAGGATGGATATAGGGACACTATAATCCCGGAGAAAAATCAGTTTCCATTGGAGAAAGCTTATGAGTCAGACTACCCCTCACGGTCTAACCCTTCGTAATATATTTAGGAAAATTAAGATAACTAAACGGAAACGCCTTTTATAAAAAACTTAACCAGAAAATTATAAATGCTTCAAAAACCACGGTAAAAGTA